CCTTTCTACTTTGCCAAAGGTGGCTCAAAAATGTCCTCCCCTAGTCTGTCTATCCCAACGATACCACCTACCGCCTTTTCAAACCAATTCCTACTCTCCAGTACAGCTACCGTCCTTTCCTCTCTATTCCATGCCTCGAACATTTCCCTGGAACTCCCCTGTATTTTTCCCAGCCCAGTCATGTACACTTTACTTCCCTCTCCTTTGTGTACAACGGACATTCCGCGACTACATGAACACGGTCTTCGCATTCGAAGCCGCAGTCACATTTGAAGTTGTCCTCTTTGTCGTCTACCGTCCTACGTCTTCGTCGACGTTCTCGAACGCCTTTGTCCCCGGTCCTGGATTTTACCTTAACCTTTGTCCCTGCATCCATTGGTCCATGTAGGTAGTCCTTGAACCCTATTCCTTCCTTCAACATTCCGTATACTTCTAGACCTTTCTTATCCTTGGTTTCTTTCCTTATATTCTGTTCTTCTTCCTCGGCACAAGCAACAGACATCTTCTCCTTGGCGGAGAGGGGAGGGGGTGCTAATATGAATCTTGGCGGTGTATTAGTAGACATGTGACCTTTGACTACGGCGTCGAACTTTCGTCAAAGATTGCGTGCTTTTTTTACTTTTTTTTCGGTACAGAGAAATAACAACGCACCCAATCCTATCCTGATTCCGGTGAGGGTACAATATCACCGCCTGAAAAGGCTTCGTATCGGAAAGGAAAGTTCACCTCCGGGGCCATGTACTCCGGCGTGCCGCACACAGACTGCGCCCCGAACGTCGAGTCCGACACGTTGTCCTTCGCCAGGCCGAAGTCTCCAAGCTGCGCGATGCAAAGCAGGGTTGATGAAGCGAGGGGTGACGCGGCGGGAGGGTGAAAGGAGAAGCGAGGGGTTGGGGAGCACAAGGGCGTCCGTCTACTTCGGCGGCGGGTTACACCGCTTTCGTGCACACGTGCGTGCGTGGAAAATTTTCCTTCGGCCATGGAACAGAGTGCCTAGCGTTGGGTGACGGCAGCAGCAACTACAACCCCCCCCCCCCCCCC